TCAAGATTATATACACATGTACACGTATGATTGGTTGATATTCCAACAAGTTTGATCAAATTAAAAATCAATGTTTCAAATCTCAATTGGAAAAGTCCATGAAATACAATAAAATTCAATCATTTTTGTCTTGGTAGTGCATACAATTATAAATATAATTGATGAAGTGTAGTAATCAAGTTGATGTTTGAGACTAAGTAAAGATTGAAACGGTTCTTCGTCTGAAAATATTTCACTGGCCGTTCATTAATTTTTCAACTTTGAGGCATGATTCTCACCATTTTTTCTTCCACAAATTAAGAAATTTTATTGCGTATTAGAGTCAAGTTCACATGTAAGAAAATGAATGCCTTTTTCACTCATTGAATTCGCATGAATTATCATGCAGTCTTTTTGTGTGTCAAATTGACCAATTATACCGTGACACATGATATGTTTTCGTAGACCTTTTCAATCCACAATAAATAGATTTCCTTTTCTTTAATCAGCAGAAAAATAATCACAAAGTAGATATTTAGGAACTGGATTCAGAGAGAGAAGCTGGGACTAACTGAGTGGCGTGTTTTTGACCACTGCCGCGTCCGAGAGGCGGCTGGCCGCTCCTTCAAGTGGTGAGGCGTCCATTGTTGCTTGGAATTTTGAAAGGTCACTTTAATTTGCTCTAGTTTCCGCGCAGGCAGTCGCAGTTGCATGACCCATCCACTGTTTGTCTGTAGCTTTTTGTTTATGTAGAGAAATGAAAGTATTTATTACGAAAAGATTCACTGCAAGCTGTTTCCCACCTGCAATGGCCAAGTAAATTTGGTAACACAAATAAATAAACGATTCTTAAAAATTCAGTATTAGGATTAAATGTCATTTAACTGTAAATGAAAATTTTTTAATTTAAATTATATTACATGTGAATAAGATGAGATAAATAATGAAAAATGATTATTTTTTATTTTATAATTAAAAATTTTTATAAAAAAAGTTTCAATGTTATTCCTTACCATTGTATTATATAATGGCCTTAAAGGTATTTCAAATGATTAAAATTTTAGAATTTTAAGTTGAAAATTTTGATTTTGAATCTCAAAATAGCTGGAGAGAGATTAAGAAAAAAAAAACTATTTTTTGTTGTATAATACCCATCATTGCAATGTCAAAAAAAAATGATAAGAAGTGATTTAATTAATGATTGTCTTTTTTTTTTTTTGAAATAAATTTCAAATACTATATTAATTAAAAAATAGTATAAGGATAAATTAGGATTTTGTAATTAGCACAATATATAGTTGTATATTATCAAATGAGAGTAACTTATGCATCCTATGATATGAAAAAAAAAGAAAAAAAAGAAGAGGAAATTAAAAAATTAAATCCACTTGTTCATTAAATATTATCGAGCTAGACGTAATTAATTTTATAAAACTAATAATATTAATTTAACCCAACATGAAATGGTAGAATGTTAATTAATTTTATAGTAGCATGGAGTAAAGCAAAATATAAATCTCCACATAAGTTGAAACGGTTCCAAGGACATTGGGTGGCATCCATTACTAATTTGTTTCGGTATCTAATTAATTGACGTTGAAATTTGTATGCACAGCTGTCCCGTGGAAGCCAAACATATAGCTTGTCACTTTCCAACTGCCTCTAAGCGTATAATTAACTTACATAAAAATTTTATTTTTAGTTACAAATAATAGGGTGAAATCATCATGGGGTGATGCAAAATCCAAACATGAACAAATCATTTGGGCTTCTGGAAATAGAGAGTCGAGACCATAAT